TTACCGTTCCCGTTGGTCACCCCGGGGACCGGTCGAGGGAAATTAAGTAGGGTCTTCTGCGGGACGTGAGTGAGGTCAGAGGTCCACTTTAGAGCTGCCTGGTTTGAATGAGGACAGAGAAGGCTTCAGAGCCGCGTTGCACAGAGAGGGGCTGCTTTGTGACACGGTGTGTGCACAGGGAAAGGGAAGCCCCGCGGGTGACTGCGGCCTTGGACGCCAGCCGTGGGGCAGGGCTTTGGCGGCGCACCTGTTCGCCTTCGAGAGGGCGCCGTGTCTTTCTTCCGGGAGGGCTCCTCGCACCCCTCAGCCTGGTGCACACTCCCTCTCGGAGGCGCTCACTGTGCCCTGAGGAACTGCGTGTCCAGGCGTCTGTCCCTCTGCAGAGCAGCGACCTCCTCGGGGAAGCCAAGCATCCCTTTCTCCGGTGCCTGTCTGGTGCGCGCGCAGTGCCTGGCACAGGAGCAGCTCACAGCTCTTAGTTTGATGAATGAGGGACCAGCCCAGACTCTGTGGGTTGCAGTGACAGAAATTCAGCTCGAATAGCTTCCGCCGGAAGGAGAGAGGGAGGATAGGAATGCTAGAGTCGCCTCTGGACTCAGGCAGGGACCAGGGCTCCAGGACACGAGGAGGCTCCTGCCCGGGGCTGGCTCGCACAGCGGCCGCCAGCCGTGCCCAGCTGCACCTCCCGGCCTCCCCCACCCACCCGTGCTCAGCTCCAGGACCAAGAGTCTCAGGATAGACTGTGATTGGCTCCACTCGGGCCGGTCCGCGGGGTCAGAGACAGGTGCTCCTGGAGGACAGGCCGGCTGCCCTGGGGGGGGGGGGCAGGGCTCTGGGCAGACAGAGTTTTCCTCGGGCAACATGGGCGTGTGAGAGGACATTGCACTGTCCGGTGCCATTCTCTCGGGATGGTAGGGGTGACGCAGTTGTGACTGACTTTCTGTCCTCTGGGTGAGGCCTGGCTCTAGGGGAGCTATGCCTGGAACTTTCTCCTTCCACTATTGTTTTGGTATCTGGAATGAAAAGCCTGCATTTGACTCATTTAACAAATATATAGTTCATGAAAGTCTCACCTACACTGACTGACTGGCACAATGTTCATGCCAGTCCATTGAGGGTTGCCACCGCCCTTCCTCACTGAGGAAACCGAGGCTGGCCCCCTGCCCGGTCCTGGGCCCCGCCGCAGGGCGGGGAGTGCGGGAGGCTGGCTCCTTCACAGCCCCAGACAGCGAGCAGAGGCCCCCCTCCTCTGCCATCCGTGTTCAATTCTAATGTCTTCCTCGCGTGAGGCTCACCCTGGCTGCCCCGGCAGGAAGCTTCCACGTCCGAGCTGGTGCACCGCTCGGAACTGGGCGGGAACCCCCAGCATGCCTCTCTGTCTTGAATGTGGGCTGCGGTCATCCCTGAGGGGACCACGGTTGGCATCAGGGGGCCTTGACATTCTCACTGACATTCTTGGAGGATCCCAGGTGGGGATGGACAGCGTCCTGCTTACGGAACAGCGAACTCCACTCCGTGGTGTGACCTTGGGCAGGTATTGAACCTCTGTGTCTCTGTTGTCCTAACACTCAAATCGAAACGTTGGCCTGGCCCTGGCCGGGCTGGCTCAGCAGTTAGAGCGTCGGCCGCAGACCAAAGAGTCTCTGGTTTGATTCCGGTCAAGGGCACGTACCTTGGTTGCCGTTCTGTCCCCGGCTCGGGTCAGGGTCATGCTGGAGGCAACCCATCGATGTTTCTCTTGCTCTCTCTCCCTCCCACTCTATCTGAAGAAAGATGGAAAAATATCCTTGGGTGAGCATTAAAAAACAGAAACAAACCAAAACGTTGGCCTGATTGATCTCCGAAGTCTTGTCCATCTCCTACTCTGATTCTGTTCTCAGCGCCAACCCTTCCGCTGCCTCCTACAGGGGAAGTAGGGCGACCCACCGCCCAGTCCCAGCCCCGACCGGGACCACAGAGCCTCTGCAAGCAGAGGAAGGGCGTGGCTCTGGGCCAGGGACAGCACTCTGCTGGGAAAGTCGCAATCACTTCTTCATTCACCCGCCCCCAGGACTTTCTGCAGGAGGAGGGAGGATGGTTTTGGTGTTGGGGCGGGGGAGGGGCATCTTTGCCTGAAGCCCAGGGAAGCCGCCCACGGAGAAGGGCTGTGTGTGGACCCGGAACTCAGCTTCGTGCTTCTCATCTGCTCTCTCCTGCCCGGTCCCGGGTCCAAGGCCTGCAACTTCCACCTCTGTGTACCGGGTTAACGGAAATGGTACCAAACACGACAGGCAAAGGAGTGTGCGTCACGTGCCTGTGTTCTGAATGATCTGAAGTTCAAGCGCCAAACAATGTCAGCACCATGGCCGTCCCCTCTGTGCCACGGACAGAGGGGGCCCAGCGGGAAATCATTCGGGCAGGGCGCACAGCTGCCGTTTGGAGACGGTGACCCTGTGGCTGTCGCTTGCCGCTGCTCATTCCTCCCGTTCTGAGTTTGCTCTTCCCACCAACCCTGTGAGTGGCAGGCGTTATAATTTCCATTCTTCTCGTGGGAAACTGAGGCTCAGGGTGGTGAGGGGACTTCTCAGGGTTGACGGGGGACTGGAACCCTGTGTCCGCCGGTGCGCTGTCCCTGCCGAGGGGCACACAGCTCCTCGCTCAGTCCTGTCCCTCCAAGGCCCACCTGCCACCACCAGGTCCGGGCCCGACTTCTCTCTGTGGGCTGAATGCGTTTCTTATCTTCTCCGGGGCTGAGGTCACTCTTTGTGACGCAGGAGTCGGCACTGGTTTCTTCATCCTGGCATGAAAAAGCCGCAATTGTCACTTCTGGTTCCTTTGTCCAGCGTCCTCTGAATAATTTATTTGGATGTGAGGGCCTGAGACTGAACACCCAGGAACTCACTGTCACCAGGCGAGCTCTGCGTCAGGACATGAGTGCAGCCAGCTCTGCATCAGGACATGAGTGCAGCCAGCTCTGCATCAGGACATGAGTGCAGCCAGCTCTGCATCAGGACATGAGTGCAGCCAGCTCTGCATCAGGACATGAGTGCAGCCAGCTCTGCGTCAGGACATGAGTGCAGCCAGCTCTGCGTCAGGACATGAGTGCAGCCAGCTCTGCATCAGGACATGAGTGCAGCCAGCTCTGCGTCAGGACATGAGTGCAGCAAACTCTGCGTCAGGACATGAGTGCAGCAAACTCTGCGTCAGGACATGAGTGCAGCCAGCTCTGCGTCAGGACATGAGTGCAGCCAGCTCTGCGTCAGGACATGAGTGCAGCCAGCTCTGCGTCAGGACATGAGTGCAGCCAGCTCTGCATCAGGACATGAGTGCAGCCAGCTCTGCGTCAGGACATGAGTGCAGCCAGCTCTGCGTCAGGACATGAGTGCAGCCAGCTCTGCATCAGGACATGAGTGCAGCCAGCTCTGCATCAGGACATGAGTGCAGCAAACTCTGCGTCAGGACATGAGTGCAGCAAACTCTGCGTCAGGACATGAGTGCAGCCAGCTCTGCGTCAGGACATGAGTGCAGCCAGCTCTGCGTCAGGACATGAGTGCAGCCAGCTCTGCGTCAGGACATGAGTGCAGCCAGCTCTGCATCAGGACATGAGTGCAGCCAGTGCAGCAAACTCTGCATCAGGACATGAGTGCAGCCAGCTCTGCATCAGGACATGAGTGCAGCCAGCTCTGCGTCAGGACATGAGTGCAGCCAGCTCTGCATCGGGACATGAGTGCAGCCAGCTCTGCGTCAGGACATGAGTGCAGCCAACTCTGCATCAGGACATGAGTGCAGCCAGCTCTGCATCAGGACATGAGTGCAGCCAACTCTGCATCAGGACATGAGTGCAGCCAGCTCTGCATCAGGACATGAGTGCAGCCAGCTCTGCATCAGGACATGAGTGCAGCCAGTTCTGCGTCAGGACATGAGTGCAGCAAACTCTGCATCGAGGACATGAGTGCAGCCAGCTCTGCGTCAGGACATGAGTGCAGCCAGCTCTGCATCAGGACATGAGTGCAGCCAGAGCAGCAAACTCTGCGTCAGGACATGAGTGCAGCCAGTGCAGCAAACTCTGCATCAGGACATGAGTGCAGCCAGTGCAGCAAACTCTGCATCAGGACATGAGTGCAGCCAGCTCTGCGTCAGGACATGAGTGCAGCCAGCTCTGCGTCAGGACATGAGTGCAGCCAGCTCTGCGTCAGGACATGAGTGCAGCCAGCTCTGCGTCAGGACATGAGTGCAGCCAGCTCTGATCAGGACATGAGTGCAGCCAGCTCTGCATCAGGACATGAGTGCAGCCAGCTCTGCATCAGGACATGAGTGCAGCAACTCTGCGTCAGGACATGAGTGCAGCAAACTCTGCGTCAGGACATGAGTGCAGCCAGCTCTGCATCAGGACATGAGTGCAGCCAGCTCTGCGTCAGGACATGAGTGCAGCCAGCTCTGCATCAGGACATGAGTGCAGCCAGCTCTGCATCAGGACATGAGTGCAGCCAGCTCTGCATCAGGACATGAGTGCAGCAAACTCTGCGTCAGGACATGAGTGCAGCAAACTCTGCATCAGGACATGAGTGCAGCCAACTCTGCATCAGGACATGAGTGCAGCAAACTCTGCGTCAGGACATGAGTGCAGCCAGCTCTGCATCAGGACATGAGTGCAGCCAACTCTGCATCAGGACATGAGTGCAGCCAGCTCTGTGTCAGGACATGAGTGCAGCGGGCAAGAGAAATGAGTCTTTGAAATCAGAGAACCAGTGACCGGAGAACACAGGCGGGAGCTCGGGGACGAACGGACAGCAGCGAGGAGCCTTTTTATGGCCCGTAAAGGTCCCTCGCGAGTTCCACGTGCACCCCCTGCACCTGGGCCGCTGGGGTATGAGGACAGGGAGCCGTGGGGCTGGAAGTCTCCGGGAGAGGTCAGAGCCGGGTGCTCCCCAAGTCCCTCCTGCCGCACTCAGTACCTGGACTAAACAAAGAGCATCGTGTCTGCCAGGCTCGCGAGCCGGAGTCACAAGATTGCGAGTGTCATGCAGCACCCTGGAATGCCTGCAAACAGCCATCAGAATGGGTGTGCTGCCCGCCACGCGGGGCCGGCTGTGCACCGAACTTTCCAGATCAGAACGTTTAGGACGGAGCTGAAGAACCATGTGATGGTCATGGATTTCGTGAAGAGCAGCTGGTTTCCCTCCCAGAGAAGAGCCAAAGTGTGTATCATCCGTATGTACCACGGCCTGAAGGCAGCCGAACGGACGGCCAGCAGATATGAGGTACGGGGGGCCTGGGCGGGAGCAGGGGGCACGCGCCCCATGGAGGCACCGGGCAGCTGCCCAGCCCACAGACCCTGCAGATGCTCCGTCTGCATGAATACATCCGTCTTTTTCTTGTAGTTTTTCCCCTGGCACTTGGAGAAGACTTGCACATCCTGGAATTTAGTTCCATTTTTGAAATATGGGGCGGGGAGAAGCGTATTGAATGACTGTAATTTATACCTGACACATGTCGGCATTTGCAAATATTTATTAGTGCTCCAAAGAGCCGGAGAATTTGGATTTACATGTAGTGATGCAGTACATTTCTGGGAGTTAAATAATCTTAGCCACACATTTGCAACCACCTGTCTTTAAACACAAATTCTTGTTTGTTTCCTGGTGTGATCGGCAGCGGGAAAAATACAGCTCGCCTCCCCCGAGGTAACATGGATGGCTTCAGTTAGGCCGGTGAGAACGGTCTTTTATGTTTTGAGGGTGAGCTCAGATTTTCAGGCAGAGACTATTTTGTGGGGGAAAAAGGAACTTCGGGGATTTGGGATGTGAAAATGAGATGAACAAGTTACTCGGAAACATATTCGTATTCGGCAACTAGTATCAGCTACAAGCCGTTACCGTTCAGAAAGTAAACACGCGTGCAATCCGATCGCTCTTTATTGTTCATGGAATAAATTATGAATGACACTGTAAGTGACTCGGGTATAGCTCACTTACCCATCTCTTTTGAAAAATGCAACATGCAAATTGCTAATGTTTTATGAAAAGGTAACCTTTCTGAATATTGATGCTATTATTAGGACAGGCTCCCCATGATGCTGGCAAGGACTCCGGGTGTTTTGTTCCCCACACTGGCTTCCTTATTCTAGGGCAACGGGAGAACCTGTTCTGCAGGGATCAAGGCAGGCTTCTTCCAGTTCTAGTCCCGGGACTGTGAATTTCCACGTTCACAACAGAGATACAAAGGCCACAGAAATAATGGTGTTAATTAAATTCAGTAATAGTTTTTCATTAGTTCATTGCCCAGTGAACCAGTGCCAAAGGTGTGCAATTAGAATACAGTTGAAATCAACCAAGATGTTGTTATTCACACGTAATTAATCAGATGGGGACAGAGTTTTATCATTCTGTTAATTTTCACTGAGATGATTTCCAGTCCTCCAGAGAGAGAAAAACTTGTTGAATTACATCCTCCTGCACCTGACAAAGTGTCCATGGCCACATTGTAAATTCTAAATGGCAAGGAGCCCCTCTTGTGCTCCCATTTTTTTTTTCTTCATGCACAAAACTTAAGTTATTCCTAAAGCAACATTGAAGATAATAAAGTGGTAACAATGCATCTTTGCAGGAGGTTGTAAAGCATTTCAGGCATAGGGACAATCACAGCTACAATGTTTCCGTCGCCCAGCTCCCCCACCCCCGCCTCTGTTACCAGGGAGAGCCCACAATGGAGGTTGTGTGCCTGCTGGGGGGATGGAACCGGAGTCTAAAGCCTTATGGTAAAATGAGTCCGAGACCCTCCCACAACAATCCGGCTGGTCTGCTGGGTGCTCCTCACTGATTGGAGAGTGGTCCAGGCAGGGCCTGCTTCGCCCATTCAAAGGCAGATCAACTGTGAACACCGTCAGATAGGATCTGGGCTTTCTGTCCCTCAGAGTTCCGAGCTCTCCTCGGAATCTAAATATTCTTTCAGAATCTAAAATCGTCCACATCCACGGAGCTGTTCAGAGTATTCCCCGGGGGCGTGCCAGCACCGTTTCAATGAGGACAACCAGAAACGGGGCAACTTCCTTGCTCAATTTCTAAGCTCCACGGATGAGAGTCCAGTGGGCGGCCCCTGGGTCCTGTTAGACGTGGCCCAGTGGCCCCTTCTCCCCCGCAGGCTCCAAGGCCATTGGTTAACCTGCCGGGGCTTTGCCCATAAAGTACTCAATGGGTTGAAAAATGAGCGAAGTCACTGGAATGGACTCTCAGTGCACAGAGGTGACAGAAGCGGGCTGTTGAATTTGGGAGATTTTTGCTTCTGTAAAAACTTTATGAATTTCAAGTCCTTCCCACGGGGACCGACTCGTCTGCTTGGTCGCGTTTAAAGTCTAAGACGGGCGTTTTTCTAGGACTGTGGCCTTAGTCCCGAACTGGCGGCGCTTGGGGGTGTGGCCTCTCCCCAGAGATGAACGGGGCCAGCCTCACTCTGCTGGGCCCGCCACGCCCATGCGCTTGCTCACACCGCCTTTCTGTAGGAATGAGGAGCTGACCTGCTGCGCGGACAGGTAACCAGGGCTGGAAGCCCCTGGTGCAGAGGTGCTCAGTACCTGGTCTTCCTGTTTGCAAAGCGCCATCCCTGCTGACTCCTACATGCCCCAAACGACTGAAAACAGTGTTTTGAGGGCCTTCCTACCCTTGCGTACATACATACCTGATACGTTTCAGACATCCAACCAGCCACAGCTGGGCAATGGGATGGATCCGTCTGGGAGTTCTGGCTGCTGTCAACCCGGCAGGCCCGGTCATGTTCTGAGATTCCCCAGGAGGCAGACACAGATGGTTTCACTGACCTTGGAAGGAGAACCACGTGGAATTCAGAGATGTGTTTTCACCTCCCGGGCTTTGAATGTGAGTTGGCATCTCCTAACTGATTGTCGAGAAGTTTCTGGTGACAGGCACAGGCTGGGGCCTGCAAGCCAAGGCTTGACCATCTGTCTTCCTAGAGCCGACAGTCCCTAATACAGTGAATCAGGAGATAGCCCGGGACACTTCCAGTGTTCAGTGACCGCCATTGGGCCACGCCCCTCAAGATTCCTCAGAGCTTCTGTCATTTTTATCTCCCTTCTTTGTTCGTGTGTTTTGTTTTGTTTTTGGATGTAGCTAGTGGTGCTCAATTCTGGTCGAATGTAAGAATCATGGTGAACTTTTATTTTTATTTTTATTTTTGATGTATGCAAATTTTACATAGTCTGTACATGTTGATGAGTTTGGGCAATATATATATATTTTTTTTTCTATTTTTTTTTTGTACAGATAGAGTGGGAGGGAGAGAGAGGAAGGGAGAGAGAGTGAGAAACATCGACGTGAAGGGACACATCGAGTGGCTGCCACCCGCACGACCAACCAGGGCCGGGGACAAACTGCAACCGAAGTACGTGCCCTTAGCGGGAACCGAACCCGGGTCTCTCCGGATCGCAGGCCGACGCTCTAACCGCTGAGCCAAACTGGCCAGGGCGAGTTTGGGCAATATAAACACTCATGTTACCATCATCACACTCAAGGAACTAAACATACCCATCGTCTCTAATCATTTCCTTGTATTCTTTTGTGGGCTGATTTTTGTGTGTTTTTGGTGGAAAGAACACTTTGCACGCAATCATCCCATTGGCATACTTGAAAGTGCACAGAGGCATGTTGTTACCGAAGGTGCCGTAGGGCACAGCAGACTGCGACAGCACAACTAAAGCTTCATACCCACTGGACCACACCTCCCTGTCCCCTGCTCCCAGCCCCTGGCCATAGTCTGCTCTGTGAATTCAACTGGCTTGGAGACCTCACGTAAGGGGAATCATGCAGTGTGTGCCCTTCTGGGAAACACTTAGCACAGTATCCTCTGCTCTCATCCAAGTTGTTGCAAACAGTAGGATTTCTTTCTTGTTCAAGGCTCAATGATGTTGCATTGCATGTCTATGTTACATTGTCTTTGTTTGTTCACCTGTTGATGGACATTTGGGTGGTTTCTCAGGGTTAACTTTTAAAAACTATGTATGCATGTAGCCCAGCCAAGGCCACGGTGACTGGAGGAGGTGTTTGTGTTGTACTTTTGTAGAGAGACTTGAACTCTGTCCGGGCAGGAGGCGGTTGCTGGAAATTGGTTTGGTCTTTTTGAGGCGTTTCAGCAGACTTACGTTTAGGGCAATGGCTCTCGATCAGCGATGATTCCCCCAAGGGATATTTGGTGATGTCTGGAGGCATTTTTGGTTGTGACAATTCAGGAAGATGCTACTGGTACCTACTGGGTAGAGGCCAGAGATGCTGCTAAATATCCTACAGTGCCCGGGACAGCACTCTGCCCTCAACAGTAAAGAATTACCCAGCCTGAAATGTCCATACATGGAGGCGGAGAGACCCTGATCCAGGGCTAATTGCCCCCCTCCCCCCGTTAGGGCAGGACCCTTGTGAGGACTTGCTACTGTCCGTGTGTGTGAGATCTTTCCACCATGCCCATGGTCCTGGGGTCGCCCACTGACTGTTTTCTGGTAGTTCGCCTGGTTTCAGGTGGTTTTTCTCTCAAGCCTATGCCAATGAGCATCCAGCCAAGACTGGAGGGACCCTTGCAGGTGCCAGAACTCTCTTTTCTTGCATTCTCTCTGCTATCGGCCTCATACAATCTAGGTATCTCAGCCTCTCTGGATCCTGATGTCCACCTCCTCGACTCAGTGAGAGCAGGGCGCTCAGTTTCCTTCCCCATGTGCAGCGTGGACGCTGTCTCCAGGGCAGGGTGGTTACAGGGCTCAGTTCCCTCACCCCCCCAGGCTCACAGCCCCACGCTGCTTGCTGCCCGGTGTCAGCCGGAGTCTGCGCCCCCCATCACGGCCGGGACTGCAGGGGTTGAGGGAAGCCCCTTTGGGGTTGATGCCCGTCCTCCAGGGTTGGGGTGAGCCCCGAGGTTGTGTGAAAGGAAAGCACTCAAGTCCGCAGTGCTCGGGCTGGAAGATAGCGTTATTCAGGGAATGAAGACGTCCCTGCGACCACACAGGAGGGAGAACAAACATCCCCTTTCTTCTGGCAGTGATCCAAGGTGCACAACAGTTTACCTGCCCCCAAACCTGGCTGAGGGCATTCGGTCCGATCAGCCTTCAGAGTCTCGCTTGTCCTCCTGAAGTCTTTCTGCCGGAGGCTGGGCAGTGTCTACCCCGAAGGCCCTGGCCCTCCAGAGTCAGGAGGGTGGAGGCAAGGCTGTTTCACTGAGGACAATCAATATTTCAATTGGCTTTGCCACCCCACAAACAGGTCAG